AAATCTTATGAATTCGATCAGATATGACGTTATTAGAACACTGAACTGCTGTAATTTTCTTCGCTGCATCTTCACCGAGTACGCAGCTGACGATTTCTGTCATACATGGTTTTATTAAATCCTCTACAATTGTGTGTGGCTTACCAGCACGAGCTATTCTGTAACTTAGCATGAATGATGCTTCTGTTGCGTTTTCATTATCTGTTTTTGCATATTTGTGTAAAGCAGCCCCGCCATATTTTTGTACTTCTTTGTGTCTTTTAAAAAAGCTTAAGCTTTTATCTTTCAGTTTTGGGTGGTTGGTGTCAAGGTGTCGTCTTAGCTTTGCCGGTAAAAATGAACTATTACATATTATTTTGTTGCAAATAACGCATTGTCCATCTGGATTCTCAGCCATTCCGACAGGAATAAACCCAAAGGACAAATACGATTCGTCATATTTTCTTTTTTTAGAAGTAGTTCTCTCCTGAGGTAAAACAATTTCACTAACAAGTTTATTTTGTCGTTCCTGTCCAGTATTTACCAAATCCTGAAATTAATTGACAATACTTATTGTTATATTTATAATTATTTAAATTTAAATAAAGAACAAAATAAATTTAAAAAATTGGCCATAGGTGCCCCTGCGCCCTCAGGCATTTCAATTTTATAAAGAAAATAAATTATAATTTTGTACAAAATCAACAAATATAGTAATAGAAATGTAATAAACAAATAATAGGTTTATAAATAAGGCTTTTATGACGCTAGGCTAATATTCTTATTTCTTACTGACAAACTAGAAACATCTATTTCCGAAATATTTTCATTATTTTCTGCTGGTGAACATACCAAAACATTTTTTCCACTTGCGAGGCCCCCCGTTTTGAGCCAACTATCCATTATTATAAACTTAAATAAAATAATAACATTTTAATAAATCGCTCTTATTTAATTACCTATGCACATTGTGCATACAAATCTCTATGAATAAACAAATACATCATTACCTGTGAAATCAAAAATACCAGATATAAACAATCGCAATATAAACAAAACTCACTGCAATCCACTTCTTTTTTCACTAGTATAATTACGTTAACTTCTGTAGTCTTATCGCGGTCTTTACTCGAATGGAGCTGGCAGCGGCTACATGCGCTGCCCCACTCCTGCGATGTTTTATCAGTTCGGTAAATCCATGCCTATTTTTATCGTGGACCACCGCACGTGCGATTAGAAATACTAGTAGAAGCATGAAATGAAACACATAACGAATGTGTGAACAACGGCGACGCGGTTGTGATTCTTTTTTATGAAAGTTTTGTTTAATTTTTGGACGGTACGCGGAACCCTTGAGGCCCTTCCACGGAACCCCGGGGTTCCGCGGACCACCTTTCGGGAATCCCTGGTATAGTGATTACATATAAGTATATAACATATTAATTTAAAAAATAAAATTTCATCAAACTTAATTAACAAACTAAAAATTATTATATAATTAGTCATTAGTCATTACCCTATTAAATAAATTATAATAGTAAATAGGTACCTAGCCAATTATACTATGGAAACATTATTTTATATTCAATATTTTATAATTTTAACACCTTGCTAACACAACTTTACTTTATACATTTAAACATTTATACTTTCATATTGAATCATAAATAATAAATAAATGTTACTATTTTAGCAGTATAGTTTAGATTATGAATAATTTTATATATTTTGTATAATATACATTTTAATTTAATTATACATTCTTATTATAACATTAGTGTTTCTTTTTTATTTATTTAAAAGTTTAAGTTAGATTTTTTGATAATGTAGAACTTAAACTTGCAAATATATTAGTGACGTCTTCATTGTTTATTTGAACATCTGATTCACATGTTATAATCATTAAATCTTCCAAACGATCTTGAGAAATAGTTGTACGTAAACGGTTTTTGAGAATTTTTAATTTTGAAAATGTTCTCTCGGGGCTAGTACTGGATACAGGCAATGTGCAAGCTATTTTTAAAGCTAAGTACAATGTTGGAAATATGCTTCTTAATCCAGAAGTATGGCAAACTTGAAATATATTGAGTATACTTCCTAAATTGTTCACTATTTTGTTTTCGTCTCCAAATAGAGCCACTGTTCTTCTTCATTGCTTGATTCGTTATCTTGGGCACTATCATCTTTTTCTGTTTCAATATCTTTATGAAGAAAATTTAAATTGGAATGCATGGCAACGTCAAATTGAAAAAAAAAGTTTAGAAAATTGAATATACTCACTTCCTAAAACTTCAAATTGTATATGTTTGTTATATATTATACAAAATACCTTAAAAACATCTTTTGGTAGTAATGATGGATCTTTTTTAATTTTTAGCAGCCGATTTATTGAAAAATATGAAATGTCTTTTAATAAGCCCTGAGATGTTGAATTAAAACTGTTTTTAATTGCTGTTGAAGCTTCATCTATTTGTACATAAGTAAGTTTTGATTTTAAATCTTTGTACTGGATCATCAATAGTTTCATCTGACGCATTTTCTCCAGGCATTTTCTTTTTCTTTCTACTTCTACTTTTTGCCAACATTTTAAATTCGTATTGACTTTTTGTAATTATGTCTGTAGCTTCATTATAAAGTTAATTAAACTCATCATCACAGAGTAGATTTTTTGAAGTCTCATTACTACCTGGAGGCTAGTTACAGCTCCCAATAAATTAATGTCAGGAGATTGAAATGTTTTAGTTATTGGATCAAGGATATTAAATATTTTTGTGAATATCAAAGCTGTTAATATGAATCTTTCGGTTAGTAAAAAATCAACAAGACCATTTGCCCGGCAACGCACTTTAAAATCTGATTTTTCGGTTTCTTTGATGTTTTCTAAAGTTTTAATAATATCATCAAAAGTTATTAAGACAGTTTTTAAGGCATTGGAAAAAGATGACCACCGAGTAGTTTCAACTCTTTTTAATCGTTTTACTCTTTCATGAGGATTTCTTTTTTATTGATGGTTTTCAAAAAATGCTACTCGCTTTTTACTGCTTGAAATAAAACTATATAAATCTTCTAAAATACCAAATGTATCAACTGCATCTACAGAACTTTTACAAACTTGAACTACAACAAGATTCAGGCGATGAGCATAACACCAAGTGTAAATAGCCGATGGATTTTCTTGTTTGATTAATGCTTGTAGACCTTCATACTCACCTTTCATATTACTAGCTCCGTCATAACTTTGGCCTACAAGGAACAATTTCTAATTTAGAGCATTTTCGCTACAAATATTTTGAAATACAGAAAAAAGTTGTTTTCCAGTGGTTGATGATGATTCCTTAAGTGATAGAAGTCTTTCACGTATAACTGGTACATGGTCATTATAACACACATAGCGTATTATAAATGCAAGTTGCTCACGCCTTGATGCACCAAATGTTGTATCAATTGATACACTCAAGTACTTAGATTTCTTAATTTCATTCTGTATAGTTGTCCTTAAACGCTTGGCAATAGAATGTATTAATTGATTTTGTCTCTGCCAAGAGAGAAAATTAATTTCACTCCTACCACGGTACTTTAGACGATCTACATAAATGGCCAGAGATTTTGAAAATTTGCTGATAAGTAAAGTAAGATCTTAAAAATTTCCTCTGAGTCTATCTTCCCAATTTTCACGATGCCCTCGAAATGGTAGTGAATGTTTACCAAGAAACAATGTTATTTCAATTAATGTATTAACAATTTTTCTGTTTTCAGCAATTTGTTTCCGTTTATGCTCATATATTTGTGGAAGAACTGGTATAGCTGATAATTTTAACTTAACCACAATAGAAGCATTTATATGTGCTTCAGTTTTTTCATGTGAACTAATGTCTTTTATTCTCTGCTATGCTGAAATCCATCAATGGTCCAAGATTTTTGAACATTTTTTCCAAAAAACATACAATATAGACAATATAATCGACCATTACTTACAGAAAAACTAAGCCATTTTCTTAATAAATCAAGTATTTACAAAGAAAAATAAGTACCTTCATAGGTTCTCTAATATTTATTAACTATCAGACTATTAAAAAAAAAAAAAAAATAGTAATTTATAAACAAAATTAAACAATATTAATAAAAACAATACTTACCCAACTCAAAAGTATCATCAATTTTTCTTTTATTAAAAAATAATTTTGAATAGAAACAATTGGCCGGGTAATCGGCAATGAAGGTGTATTGATTTCTGTTTTTTTTATTTTTTTTTTTTTACATGACTCGACGTGTCTGCCAATTTGTTTTATTTAGATTTCCTCTACTTTTATTACACGTATCACAATTCACAGACATTTTAAATAAAAATGGTAAGTTATCAAAAACACAATAATGATTTGAGACTCGAGTGTGCTTATGGACTATGGTTTATAACCAAATACAGTTTAACAGTTTTAATTCAAGAGATGGAGACGAACGTCGGTCTTAGAGGGTTCGAACTAAGTACAATAAATGTACAATGTGTCTTCGTTCATATCAAAATAAAATAAGTAAAAATAAATATTGTTCAAGCTAAATATTTCTTATAAAACAAAAATAGATTAATACGTATAGTATTATCGTATTATTTTATATTTTATTATTTTATATTTATATTAAAACTGGTGACAGCTGACAGGTCCGCGCTATAATAATCTATACAATAATTATTGCCCAAAGATAAATATAGAACACACGACACACGCATTCACTATTCATAATGTTTATTATTCTTTGATTAAATATGCTTAATCCTTATGTAGTTATGGACACGGTACACGGTAAATTAATGTATTTTATTTTAAACTTGTGTAACTTGTAGCCTGTAGCTGTAGGTACTAGGTTCCTATGTAATAATATGTTCACAGGTTTATACAAATTACAATTATGCCTACTAAATTATAACTTGATATTATATTATTATAAAATAAATTATAATTATTATTTATATTATAAATTAACAAGCACCCACCCACCCAATTTAGGTGGTTCATTTGAACCACCTAAAGTACGTACTCGGTGCCACTGAATTCGATCGTACTATCATATCTTCGTACATCGTCAGCATCAGCTACTCCATACATCCATTTTAATATCGTACCCCCAAACTCAATAGATCGCTTAACTTTTTTCTTATGTCTACTCATTTGTACAATTAAACCTATCTCGTTTTCCAATCTATTAGCGTGTTTTTTTAACTGATACAAAGTTATAGATATATCTTTGAACACAATTAGTTCAATTGATTTTAACATTTCCCTAATATTTCTAATACTGTTATTTAAAAATTTTAAATCCATATATGTATTTATTGTCCAACTACTTCCGCAAGCTATACCATTAACTATGAGTTCGTACTGCAATTTGCAAACCCGGGCCATCACTGGTTGGTGTTAATACATATCTTCCTCATGGTTACCAAACGTGGTAAAAATTTGTATGGTAAATAACAACAGCAGCATTTGATGAATGACCTTAAAGTCCATTTTTTTTACTTTTTAATTTTTATCTTCTGTGTCGAATAATTATATTTGACGTACTATGACCATATATCTACAACAATAAGATAAAGTAAATTTAGATCATGTGTAATTAGTATGAACATAATTATTATCATAATAATGATAATGCAACAATATCAATAACACTTAGGTCATAAATTGAATTTTTTTAAATATAAAATTTCATTTAATAATATGAAAATATTGTTGCTTTTTTCAGTATATTTGGCTTTGTTTGTTTAACTTGTCAAAAATTAAACTTATTTAGAGAAAACACCCTTAAGGAAAAACCTAGAAAATCTAGGTATATGTACAATGTACATAGAGAGTCACCAATTTCTATAAATCAGGCCCCAATTGCGGGATCGACATGTATAACAATTATTATTGAAATCAGACTTGGGCATCATCATTCGAATACAATTTTATTTAGATAATATTGTATTCGAATAAAAAATTATTAAAATTATTATTTCACAATCATTCGAATAATTCAAAATAATATTATTCGAAAAATTCGAAAACAATATTATTTGAATAACAAATGATTCGACTAATTTTCAGTTATTTTATCTTAGTTAACATAATATGGAAATATGGTTAATATTTTGGTAATTAAAACATTTACATATTAAAAAACAATAGTTAGCATTGTATTTTAAGTTTACGATTGTAAATCTTCTTTTATTTGAAATAAATAGAAAAATACTATAAATGAAACAAATATAGAACTATCTAAAGAATTCGAATATATTTGTATTTTGTATTAGCATGTTTGTAAATTATTCAATTACATTTTTATTCGAATAATTGTAAAAATAATCATTCGAATTGTCATATTTGAAAATTATTCGAATAATATTGTTTACGAATTATTCGAATAATTATCTAGAATCTAGAAAACTAACTATCGAAAATGAAGCATCTCCAAGTAAGGAATACACTGAAATTAATTTTTCAAAGGTAAAAAAAGACGATATGATGAAGTATATTTATCGTTTGGATTTATTCCCATTGGAGTAGACACGTTTCCCGATGTGAGGTGCGTAGTTTGTGAAAAAGTTCTCAGTAACAGTTCTTTGGCTCCTGCGAAGCTTAAGCGACATTTGGAATCTAATCATCCAAATCTGAAAGGGAAAGATCTGGAATTTTTTAGAATGAAGAAAGACATTTCAATTGAAAGTGCGAGTTATCTCACTAAGTTAGCAGCAGTGCAGTGCTCAAACAATACGATTTCTGATCGAATTCATAAAATTTCTGACCACATTGAAGATGAATTTGTCTTCAGATTAATTAACTGTAACCAATTTTCTTAACAAATGGACGAAAGCACCGATGTTTCTAGGTTTTCCATACTACTTGTTTTTGCCAGATATACTCATGAGAAAACCATTCAAGAAGGGTTGCTTATTTGTGAAAGTTTGAAAACGCATACCACAAGAGAGGAAATTTTTGAAGTTTTAAATAAGTACTCAGTGAAAAAATATATATCATGGCAAAAATGTGTGGACGTATGCACGGATGGTGCTGCTGCAATGGTTGGGAGATAAAAGGTGTAATAACCAGAGTTAAAGAGGTAGCTCCAAAATGTAGTAACAGTCACTGTGTTTTACATCGCCATGCGTTAGCAACCAAGAAACTTTCGCCAGATCTTAAATCAGCACTAGACTTCAATGTGTGAACTTTATAAAATCACGCCCCTTAAAAACAAGGCTGTTCAAGAAGCTCTGTGAGGAAATGGGGAGTGGCCATCAGAATCTTCTTTTACATACAGAAATCAGGTGGTTGTCCAGAGGTAAAGTTTTAACAAGACTTTTTGAATTGCGAGATGAAGTAAAATTTATTCTGAAGGAGCATACGAAAACAAATCTTTTTGAGTGGTTTCATGATGAGAATTGGCTCATAAAGTTAGCCTACCTCTCTGATATTTTCAACAAGTTAAACGAAACAAACTTGGGTTTACAAGGAAAAGAAACTTCGATCTTTCAAGCCAATGACAAGATTAAAGCTCTCATTGGCAAGTTGGATTTTTGGGTCGATTGTGTACAAGAAAATGATTTTACATGTTTCTCAAACTTGAATAAATTCTTATATGAAAATGAGAGCTCAGTGACCCCGATAAATGCAGAAGAAATAAAAGACCATTTAATCAATTTAAAATCCGGATTACTTTCCTACTTTCCAAGAATAAACGAAGATTCTTTTGCAATTCTAGCTGTCAGATGTTTATCTAATAATATAATATCAATTTATATATTTACTTATATACATATAATTTAAAATGATTATATCATGATATTTCATCTTTATTGTAAAGATATCGTAAATAATTATACTGCCAAATGGATCAGTATAGAAGAAATATACTTTGATCAATCATTTTGGGATTCTAAAATGTCTGAACCGCTACAAACGTGAGTCCTTTTTTTTTAATAATTTGTATATTCAGAGTAATCAGATAATCTTTCACACGAATACACGATTACTAGTGAATCATGGTTTATCTATTTTACCTATAATATATTTATATTATATTTTATCTATTTTATTAACATATTATATTTTATATTTTAAGGTTTTATATGAAGTCTTTATTACCCAAAATTATTGATCCACAATTCCCTAAAAGAATGCTGAAATCAGATATTCGAGAACCAAACCACATAAAAAAAAAAAAATGAATAAAATATTTGAATATAATTTAGACAAGTTGAATGGTTTTTTATTTTTTACTTTCTTAGATTGCAACTCAGTAAGTGTAAATCAAATTCAAGTAGTTTATTTATGGCTGATTAAAATGAAAGAAGAGTTATACCGGGTGACGTATAAGACTCGATTTTCAATATTTCATTCTCAAAATCGATAAAATCGTTTTGCGTTTCCAGCCGCAACGATTGCGTAATTGACTGGTCTATAAATAAATTCCTAACTGTGGTTTCCAATGTGCGACCGACGTGAGCGTGTCGACGATAGTCGTTGCATTCAACGATCGTACTGCCTTGGAAGCAGTGTATTGCGTGCGCCGCATTGCGATTTTATTCTAAACGAATTTATTATATATTTTTTTACCAACATTTTTTGTATCAAAAAATGTCGAAAACGACGAAAACTCTATTCTCTAATATTGAGGATGAGCTGTTAGTTGAAGAAGTTAGTAAAAACAGTGTGTTATATGACAGTTCGCACGAGAATCATAAAGATATAAATGTCAAAGATGTTATTTGGAATAATATTTCTTCCGTTGTTGGGCAATGTAGTAAGTACAACATATTATAAGAATAAACAAATTACCTAATATTAATAATAAGAAATTTTTGTGGCTTTAACTTTATTTAACACAAACAAAATATAGTAAAACATTTTAACTATAATTATTCATTTTATTATATTGGAATCAGAAAAAACATATTACACGGATCTCAGCCTCGCGGCTACCTATATAATATAAATACACATTTTAAAAGTGTTTTTTAAAGCATAAATGTAACATTCCTTTCCTTATGATTTATGAACATTACTTATTTACAACTAATACTTAGCCATTAACACTTATGTATTATAATTTATAGCTGAAGACTGCAAAAAACGTTGGCGAAATATACGTGATACGTACATGAGAAATAAAAAAAAACTTGGGACTGGGTCGTCAGCATTATCAAAAAAGAAATGGGCTTTGGCTGACAATTTAACATTCCTAAACAACGTAGAATACGAAAGAAGGTAAGTACTTAACCAAAAACAATACTTTAAATTGTTTACTAAAATTAACACACATATTATCGAGGGGTAAGCCACTATAAAAATGATGTACACTAGATTACTGATTATCGAATGATTATCATGATTATCAAATGATTATCAAGATTATCGAATGATTAGCATGATTATCAAAGATTTTTAGAAGATTTTTATTATTAAATATCATAGAGTATATAGAGGCGCCCTAATTGGAATAATATGAAGCGGAAATGGAAACAAAACAGTGTAGGCAAACTATAGAAAATATTTTATTGTATATGAACTATAATACAATATTTATTGTAATTTAATTATATTACTCATTATTATTACTCAATTATATCATATTGTTCTATGATTATATTAGCCTTTATTTATAACTATCAATATAATATTAATTATTATAATATTACTGAACTGAACTTGATTTGCACAAATACGTAAATACTATTATAATATGTTACGGGAGGGTAGTAATTTTTGGTGAGGAAATTATCAGTACTATCAATACTTAAATTATTGTAACACACCAGCATCTTAGGTTTGTTCTTAAAATAGTTTCTGAGTAGAAAGTATTATAACATTTTCAAAATATTAAATTTTTGGGATTTACGAAAAGTTTAAAATTAGCGCTATCTATCAGTTGCTTTGTTAGTTATTGGAAACCAAATCCGACATGTTTTGCTTCACATAATTCATAATACTTATTCTGATATGGCATCTCTATATACTCTATGTTAAATATACTTAGTAGTAATTTTTGTTCTTCAATTTAATTTTTTTTTAAGACATTTTTCGTACAATTTTTATAAATAATGTTATAACGCTATCACTTGATAACATGCAGTTATGGAGTGAAAACTAAAAACATATGATTTTGCTCCGAGTTATACCCCTGCAGTGGCGTCCGCAGAGTGGGGGCTAACCTTTTGAAGCCCCTCTCACCATTGCCATCATAATTATTACTTAAAAAAAAAAATGTATCAAACTTCAACTGTCGTCAGCTATATTAAGCAAGACGAAAATTAATGAACGTCCAGAATAAATTCATTTTTAAAAAAAACATCGATTTGTATACCAATTTTTCTAAAAAAATCAGTAATTTTTTTGGTAAAAGTATGAACTACTTGTATGAATGACCTGTATTGAATTTTCAAGCCTTAGCTATACAAATTTAATATTGGAACAATTCTAGTTTAGCAACCTATCGATTTTTTAGGTTTTGTTTTTTTAAAAATATGTGTTTTTAGGTGCTTTATAAGAATCTAAAATAAAAAAAGGCCGGACGGACTTTGTTTGGAAGTTACAGCCTTCCAAAGTTTGCGAGTTTACGTTTATACGCATGCGCGCAACACTACTATAATGCCCCGCGGAGGACGTCGATATTTTTATAATAAAAGTTACGAGTCTGTATGCATAGTTAATTTGTGTTTTCACTCCTTGACCTGTTTACATAAGTATATAGTGACTCCCTTCGCCTATCGGCACCGGTCGACAGTTAGAGTAACATAAGTCTATAGAAGCTCCCTACGCCTGCCGGCTCCGGTCGCCTTACTCGAGGTCCTGCGGACCTCTCGCTGGATGGGGGCTCGGCCCCCAAACCCCCCGGGGCTTAAATAGCAAACCTGGGGGGAGGGGGAGGGGTGGCGACCCCTTCGTAGTCGCGGGGGGGAGAGCATACCTGCCCTTCGGGCAGACGGATGACCTAACAAGTAATTTTAACCTTGTTAGTTGAAGACTTGAAGTATCACAAGTATAGTGGCTCTGGTCTTCAAACTCAAGGGACCTCGCTCTCGTCGCCTATCGGCTCCGGTCGCCATTTAGAGTAACTTAAGTCTATAGAAGCTCCCTACGCCTTCCGGCTCCGGTCGCCAAACTCGAGGTCCTGCGGAAAAATAAAGACGTCTCAAACGCGGGCGTCCATACTAGCTTATTAGTTGACCACTATAGTATTATTAGATTTTAGATAGTAAGATAGTAGGTAACTATGCCTCATTATGCTTAACTAATTTTATAAAATCTATAATTACCTATATAATAATATCATATTTGTACATTAAAACATTGTTGTAAAACATTACCTAATAATAATAATAAAAAAAAATCATCTTCCTCAGTTTCTGAATCTGATTCTTCATTATTTTCTTTACTTTCTTGTTCTACAATATTTCCATTCGGATTGTACACTTGAGCCGCTAATTTGAAAAATTAAAATAAAGGGTTTAGAGCAGATGAACGGCACACCTTTAAAAACATGTATTTGGCCAAATAACCAGCTTAAAAATGTTTTTTCCGAGAATACTGGGTCATTGAAGCTTTGGCATGACACCACATTCCTTCAACGTTGTTGGAGTGTGCTCCAGTTTCCGGGTTTTTAAACTCTACCGAATGATTTACAGTCAAATGTCTATACCCTTCATCTTTTAACAAGTTAACTGCCCTACCGTTTTTATTGGCCTTACCCATTTCGCTTTGTGTATCATTATTGATACACAGTAGTTTTTTCTATATCGCTCATACTCATTTAATTTGTGTTTCCAAACTTGTCCTGAGAATCAAATATGCTACTCACATAACCTTGCCAATCTTCCCTTGAGTATCATATATACACTCATTTATTTTAAGAAATAAATACTAAGATTCATATCTGACTCTAAATTTTATAACTGATTCTTAATCTAAACATAATTTGCTATTTAATCATGTTTTGGCCCTTCTGATAGCTACATTCCTTCTCATTTTATTTTTATAAAATGAATGAGATATAAGAAAAATATAATATACTGTACAAATACTTTAGGTATATAAATAATCATACTTTATTTATATTTTATTTGGAATAACCCTAATATTTACGAACTGAACAGTCGATGGTTATCAATGTCAATAAAACTCGAGTTTTATTTTTGTCTTCTAATTATTTTATTTGGCGATCCATTACACACATTGGTTTATAGAATATCCTATTTATTATTTTAGCTATATGCAAGTCTTAATTCATAGATTATAAATTATAATGAATTAAAAAAAAAAAAACGATATTTGTTGAATACTTGACGTGTACGGCCTAGCCCGTCCTATACAACAAAATATAAAAGGCGTAATTATACCAATATATTAATAGTTATAACAACTTCTTGACAATTCAATTTAAAATGTATTTAAAATTATATAAAAATTAAAACCAATAAAACAAATTAATAAAATTATAACAATACTGATACTTTCTTTAGTAATTAATTCTGTAAATAAAAAATTGTATCACCTTTGATTAGTACAACAATGACTAGTATAACTTACTTTTTAACAGCATTATGCTCATTGAAAAAACAAGGCATACAAAAAAATTTGATGCAAACGTTACATTTTGTTGTTACTTGTCTCGTTATCTTTTGAGCATGATCGCGTCCACCTTGAAGCATCCTTTCTTTATAGCAAGCAAAACAACGTCCTCTTGATTTAACTTTTTCCAATTCATGATATTTTTCAGTTTGAATATTTCCAAAGTCATCTCATCTGACTTTAGTAAACTTATAACCAGCATTTCTCTAAACACAGTTATATCCATTTTCTCTTGGCGTATTTCTTCGTATAATGATAACGCATTGAGAACTGATGTGTTCAAAAGTAATTCAAAAACAACTTTTTTATACCATTTTACAGTTTTACGAAGAGGGTTGTGATAAGAATTTCTAAGATCAGTTACATCAACTAACCCTTTGCCTTTATTATAATCTATAATAACTTGAGGTTTTATTACTTCTTTTCCTCGTTTATTAGTTATCGTAGATTGAGCATCTGAGTGTTTTGTTGATATCATTAAAACCTCACGCTTGTCCTTCCATTTCAATACAGTTATGCCTTTATTACATTGTTTCGCAATTACCTCTCCTTTTTTCAATTTCTTATTGACCACTTCTTTAGGATTATTTTTTCTATTAGAACGTAGAGTGCCGACTAAATTAGTAGATCTGTTTAAGAGTTCACTTGCCAAATCGTAGCTACTATACTAATTATCAGTAAACATTGTTCTACCTAAGTCAAGATAATCTTCTGCCATCTCCATTACTACTTTGGTTGACACTCTCTGACCAACAGTAGGCTCCTTTCCAGCATAAATTTTAATACCAACCGTGTAAAAATTGTCAATGCACAGTTTAAATAATTTTATTCCATATTTGTGTGTTTTGTTTTGAATATACTGTTTAAATGAAAGACGTCCTGTAAATGGAATCATTGACTCGTCAATACACATAGACTGTTTTGGAGCTCGTGCCATTTTAAATTTTGATAAAAGCAAATCAAGTAATTTATTTACTTTAAATAAACGGTCTCCTGGGGGACAAAGTGCATTATTAGAGCAGTGGAATGTTCGTAAAAGAAGTTCAAAACGTTTTCGTTTCATAAATTTAGGTATGTTGGATATATAAATAATATTATTTGTTTTCCAGTAGGAAGCTATGGAAGGTTTAGGACATAATCCCATCCACATAATAATTCCTAAGAATTTTTTCATCTCAGTGGGAGTAACGTTTTCCCATTGTTTTAGGCGTGAATGAGGACTTACTACAGATTTTAGTAATTCTGCAGCATATCGGTTTGTCTCTTCAACCAATAACTGGATAATTTCATCATCCAAAAATAATGAGTAAAAATCAAAAGGTGTACCTTCAGATAAACAGTCAATAATGTCTGGGTTGATGCCAACTGTTTCATTTGTTTGATTGAATAAAACACGAGGCTGAAAAGCATCATCTACATCATTCCAAACTGGTTCTAAATTTTGATTATTATTTTGTATGGTAATCGATGCAACTTCATCTGTGTTTGGAATGGAATCATCTTCGTCATTCTTTAGGTCAAACCGTTTGAAAATTTAATCATAAGATAATTAATAATATTTTAATAGAAAACGATGTTTTTTATTTTAATTTGCTTACCACTAAACTAAAATCGTCATCGTCATCCGTGTCATCGCCAGACCAATCTGACATATTATTTAAATAATTTGATATGCTGTGTTCATCCATACTTTAAATTTTATCGAATAAATAAATAAAAAAAACCTAGAGGTGAGCCTATGAAGGTAACACTTCCTAGCCGAACGGTCTTCCTATTTATAGTATGCGCGCGTGGCGGTCATCCGCACGTTTTCGTGAGCGTACTATATGATAGGGCTTGAGTATCATATTTGATACTCAATTAAAATCGATTATATTTTACCAAAAATCGATTTTATTTCATGGAAGAAAAAAAATTATGTTACAATAACACAATATTATTTGTTTTTACCATGTGGCCAACTGACAAATGTTTATCATTATCTACGGGCAACCAGTGTTGGTTTAGTGAGAATCATATTTGATACTCAAAGTATACGCGGCAAGTTTAACCAAACGAGAAGGGCAATATAGTAGAGTATTCCGTGTATCACATATGATACTCAAGGCAGTCAACTTGTTAAACAGCCATAACTCTAAAAAGATTGAAGCAATTGAAATTTAAAACTGTTGAGTTAAATCAATTAAAGCACGAACTTACTTTCCAACAATCACTAATTATTAATGTTCCCGGCAAAATCCAGTCTTTTATGACTGCCAACAAAGTTTCCTTGTCACGTTTCTCCACCGGTACAAGGAAACAACGACCCGTTTCACGTTCAACTCTACCAAATACCCACTGGCCTTCAACGCGATGCCTTCTGTGGTATTTTCGCCTCCCGAATTTGGACTCATAAATTTCTACTGTTTCCCCAGTTCCGCCTACTTACGAAGTATTTTTAAGAATAATCCGCTTAAAATTATAAAATTTAAAATATTGAATACAATGCGCGTGGTGAGGGCAGTGACAATATGCGTTTCGGCACTCGTCGCTACGCTCCTCGGCGCCGTCGCTACACTCCGCAAATCGAAAATATCCCTCGATTTGGTATGCAAAACCACCTCAAGTAGGTAACAGGGTCAATAGAAATTTTAATATGTAATAATTTAAAAAAATTGCAATCAATGCGCGTGGTGTGGGCAGTGACAATATGTGTTTCGGCACTCGTCGCTATGCTCCGCAAATCGAAAATATCCCTCGATTTGGTATGCAAAACCACCTCAAGTAGGTAACAGGGTCAATAAAAATTTTAATATGAATAATTTAAAAAAAATTGCAAACAATGCGCGTGGTATTCGCAAATACGGCGATGGGATAGGTACTTTATATGACTGCTTAAAGTAATTTGCAAATTGAATGAGTAACTAATCTTCTACTTACCGATTTTTTGATGTCGTAGTATCATCCCATCAAATACGACTTCTCGGTGGAAGGACGCCCAATCAACCGATGATTGCCGAGCAATATCGATTTGCTTACGAATAAATTCGAGGGACACTTTTTCAGTCCACAAGTACGCAAATGTCACAATTTGAAAAATTGACAAATGCGATTTTGAAAAAAAAGTGTTTTTTCGAATCGACTGGTAAAAATCGCACTTAACTTTTTTTTTTGTTACTATCGGTGTACGATTGTTTACATCGCCAAACAAAACCGTCACAATAAGCTGTGCTTGGGCACAGAACTACAAAGTGGCCTTTATTACAATTAATAAGTAATAACATTATTATTTGCAATAAGGCCCCAAGACTGTAAAATATTTAATACTGACATGGACAGCGGGCCATTCATGTTATGTTCAAACATATTGTAAATTTCAATAATTGATGTCATTTTCACTATAGTAAAACAAAATACACAAAATACTTGTTTCACGAACTGAGTAATCGATCGTAATGACAATCACGTAGCTTATTCTATCGGACAAAGTAGATAATATGAATATTTTATCTTGGCTAATAATATATTATATTTGTTTATATTATATCTAATTGACAATTAAATATGGGTTTGTGTTTTCTGCCATCTCTTAATGATCTATTATACCTACCTATTTACCTGTATTAGATATTTGCGGAACGTCATAAATTAGGCAAGATTTTAAATATCTGTAATTCTGAAACCAAGTCCGATAAACTAATTCTGACTTCACTAAAAACTTTTTCATCTAGAACTGTATATATTAAAAAAAATAAAATAATGAAAAAGTTGATTTTCAACTAATTTTCAAAAGAATTTTGGATTGATTTTGAAAATGCTACTTGTATTGTTTTTGTCCAAAAACTTCAAAAGTAAGTATGATAGGTAAGTTTTGATCTTATCAACATATTCAGCTTAAAGAACTACAAATTTTAGTAAAAAAAAATTTTAAAAATAATAAATTCTAAGTATTTTTTTTTTTTAAATTTGCGTTTTGAATAAATTCTACTTTTTGAAGTTTTTCGCCGATAACTTCCAAATGAAGTCCGTCCGTCCTTTTTTTATTTTAGATTCTTATAAAGCACCTAAAAACACATATTTAAAAAAAAACAAAACCTAAAAAACCGATAGGTTGCTAAACTAGAATTTTTCCCTATTATCTATAGTCATTATTTTAGTTAGTTAAATTGTATTTATATATCTTATACATATATATTAGGTACCTATATATATTAGTATAAGGTCTATGATTGTATTAAATGTATAGTAGTAGTAGTAGAAGTATAACTTTATTAGTAGATATATTGTTATTATAATAATAATTATTATTATTATTGCAGAACACTTTTAGACTACTGGAAATATTTTTACCTGTAAGTATGGCAAAAGTTGTATAAGTGATGAATTACTTATTAGTATACCATGTTGGAAAGGCAACATTGAACAATGCTTATTGACTCTTAAATTTTCAATTATTGATGACATTTTCTTCAATAAATCAATTTGTTTATCTAGATCCTTTCCAAAAGCCGGATGTGGTCCAAATTGGTTGTTAGAATTGTGAATATCGAACCAGTCATTCACCATTTGAATAAAGTCAGATGTTATTTTGTAACAATTCTCTGCACCTGTTCCATTAAAAAGTTGATTGTCACCAACAAAAAGTATTGCCTTGGCTGTATTTGCAGATAAAACTCTTGCTGCCGCTTTTACATTTTGTCTTTCACTCCCTTTAACATCTAGTAAAGTCTTTGATAGTTTCCATCCAGGTTTCAATTGTGCTGTTTGAATTTCCACTAGTTTATCCAAGGGCTTTCTATTTATAACTTGACCATCAGCAAGTATGAGATCATTATCTAATAAATGGTTTCTTATAAGCTTAAGCAAATGTGGTGTATCTGCAAAACAAAATACTTTTTCACCTGGAATACTTGGATTCTCAAAATATGGTTTGGTTGGAGTTATATCTAATTTTTTATGAAGGCCTCTATTTTTTGGTCCCATGTCTGACACAAAAGCAACTACTAAAAACCCAACATCATGGAGTTTTTTTATTGCATTGTTTAAAATAGTAACCGACATATCATAATCAAAATCGAAGAAGATTGGTTGCTTCCACTGGCTAAATAATCCACGTGCACACATAACTTGCACATTATTGTGAGGTCCTAGTATTCTCTATTCTTGAGGTTCATATTCAATTCTATTATGTAAGTACATTTCATCAAATGATATTATTGTTATTTTTTCAAGGTCTGTCATATTTTCAGATTTTCCTTTCATTACAGAAAAAACATCATCAATAAAACCAGGACGCAAAGTCATTACTTGTGTTCTTCGACAGAGGGTTGATATTGATGGCAATGGATTTTTTGGAGAGATATCTGTATGCCTTTGGACTTACTATTTGAAGGCTGATTGCACTAGAAATATCCTCAGAAGACCACCGATTTTTTTTTCCAATCTGGACCCATATGAATTGCTTTCACTTGACCAGGTGAAAAAAAATTAGATAAAACAGAAGCTATGGACTTAGCTCTTGAATCAGATTTATGTTGTACTTCAATCAATTCATTTTCCAGTTTCTTATTCTCTTCTTTTACCTTTTGATTATCATTTCTTAATTGTTTATTAATACATTCTATTTCCTTTAATTTTGTCTTAAGCTCTTTGATTTGTGTTTCAGGATTATTACTGTAAAAATTAATGATTTGATTTAAATTATTTGTACACTTCGACACAATAATTAATAAGTTACTATTTACTTGTGAATTATAAATATAACTAATTTAATTAACATACTTTTTTGGACTTCCTATTTTTGGTAATCCACATAAACTTTTTCTTAAACGTTTAGTCCGAGGAGTTAACTGTATTTCATCAATATTATAAGGCTCAGGAAAATCATTATTTATATTACTAATTGAAAATAGTGACTTTTTAGCTGAACATAATTCTGAACTTGATATTATGTTATTACTTGTTTTGAAACTCCTAAAATTGTTAAAATTTAGTAAATGTATAAACTTTTATACTAATTTATATTATGTTATTAGTTTACTTTACCATAGCCAGTAAATGCGGAGAACTAACACCATTGCGTATGGATATGTTTTCTGTTTTGTCAACTGTATACAGTGTTTCAATATCACCCAGGTGTCTAAATTAAAAGATAATACTGAAATAGTTTTCAGTAACAAAATGTGATTTAAATTGTATTCTTTTTTTACTGTGTTTGTAGTAATATGGATGAAGACTTGTTTAAATGTTTATCATTAAAAACTGTTGGAACTGCACATTTTTTTAAACGCAATCTTTCTCGTTCAACTTCAGATAGAAAATACATTTCTTTTTCAAAGTGTTCTGCACATATATATCCTATGTATAAATTAAATGTTTTTTATTAGATTACATAAAATTCAAGGCTGGACAAGCCTGGATTACCCAGATAAAATGTTTCTATTACTATTTACTAAACATATTAATTTACCTTTCTCAACTCCGGTGGCTTTTATCCATTTTTCCTTAAGTATGAGGTCCAAAGGAAATTTATGGAAGGAAATATTTGTATTGGAATTCCAATTATTACAGCCTAAAAAAAATGTTATAAACTTATAATATATTTCTTGTTGTCTATTGTTGTAAATTTAATTTATTATAATAAAAGTATAACTGAAAACAACTATTACCTTTTACAGCACATTTTTTTATCCCCATTCTTCTTTTTAATGTCAACAAATTCAAAAATCTATATTAAGTTTGTAGTTTAAGCCACTTGTTACAAATTGTTCTTACATGATATGCAAAGAATAATTAAAATAAACTGTTAACAACGATAGTTTGTTAATGTCACATTAATAATGTGGAATGAGCTCATTCATGGATATGAGGGAACAAATGTTAATGGTTTGTTGTGACTACTAGCAATATATTAATAGGATATTTTATTTTTACATATTTTCAATATTGTATATTAATTCTGAGAATTAGTAATCTATAATATATTATATTGTTTACAATTTGAATGGACAAATAAAATTAGAATCAAATAAATGTTTAATATAGGTACACATGGTAATATTTCAGCCGTTATAATAGCTTTTATTTTCAATTATTCATTAAGTAGTGTAAACTTATAAGTACCTATGTCTGGATTAGTGAATACATAGTTTCATGCAGGGTCTAAAATTGTGTGTAGTACGACACACTGTGTGTAGTGTGAAATATGAAATTAAATGTGTGTTATGGCCAGTTATAACTAGTAACTTTTTACATTTTCAAATTTTTACTCCATAAATTGAAAAATTAAAATTGGGAGATAGTTATAGCCGCAAGGCCGGGCATTAACAAGTTAAAAAGTTAATTTTATTTTAACTTTTTAACTTAACTAGTTACTTTTGACCTTTCATTAACTTAACTTTTAACTTACTAAATTTCTTTCTTAATTAACGTGAAATTAATGAGTCAATTTTTCATTTTAAAAAGTAAGTTAATTTATTTTGTTTTTAATTTAATTATATTTTACTATTTCAATTTTTTTCGTTTTCATGTCAAAAAATATGTACCGTAAATTGTTTAAAGTTAAAATCATTCGAATCTAACTTATATGGAAATACTGTATAAAGTATAAACTATATTCTATAATTTAGTTTTGGGTTGGAAAAAATTGTAAGCTAGCGTTGTATAAACAAATTAACTTTTTTTTAACTTAATAAAAAGTTAACAAATAGTGTTTATTAACTTTTAACTTAACTGAGTTAACCTATAGTTAAATTAACTTTTAACTTTTAACTTTTTGTTATTGGTGCATATTAACTTAACTTAACTGAGTTAAAAAAAATCATTAACTTGCCCAGCCTTAGTTATAGGTATTCATTTTATGTACTTATACCATCTATGTTATCAGTATTTTGATTCTTTATTTATTTTAGGTTTAATATAAAGTGTGTAGTACGAAAAACAAGAATATTTTATCATCTGGTTTCATAATAAATAAATAGGCATAATATATGATTGTATGATGTATTTATTACAAATATAAAACAATTTATTGCAAAAAAATCAAGCAATAAGTACAATATTAATATACAAGACAATCGTTTTAATTATAGTATACAAATTAAAGAAAATATTTGTTACACTCGGTATAGTAACAGTTTAGTATAATATACTGCATGAATGATAAATATGTTAACATTTTGAATATGCCGCCAATTCATATAATATACAGCCAATCAAAACATCGCCCCTTACGCTGCCATTTTAATTTCTTAACAAGATAAAACGATGTAGTGGGGGTACTACTGCAATAACCTTGTATATTTAAGCCATGTCACGGACGAACGTTCATAAGATAATAAACAACGCTCCCGAACTCGACAACTCGTCGGTCGGTATACGGCTGTGAGTAGTGCGCGCGGCTTAAACGTCGCGTGCTTGCGGATCACGAAAACACCTAACAGCGCATTCTCTTGGTCATTGCATGGTTTCGTTTGCCCGTTTAGCGTCCTCTTAAATTACTTCTTAATATGTTCAAAAATATATTTTAATTTCGAAAATGTTTTTTCACATTGAACTTGAGTTATGGATAATTTTAACAAAAACTTGTATGCTAAAAACAATTCTGTATATGCTGTAGCATACAAATTACACTTCCATAAAATTTGATAACAGCAAAATATACAATTTTTACACCTCTTTTTATGTACAAGGTGTTCTTTGGCTAACTCAGATTCCTCTTCTTCATCGTCCAGATCCAGGGTCAAACAATTATATAAGTAATGTTTTTGAAAGCGAATCCCATTTTCCTGCAAAATCTATTAATTGCTCTTGTAATTTTATCGATATTTGGTGAGAAGCCTGTAAAAAGCTCAGCTATTTTATTCATCGCATTTTCAGGTAGATTTTTAATTAATTTAAAGTTAGTATGATGTAGCCATTCAAAGTCTATGCACATTTCTTTATGCTTTGAAAATCTATTTTCTAAACTCTCAATAACATAGTTATATCCAAGGTTATGTTATAAACATTAATTTCATATTTTTTTTGGAACAATCGTAAGGGGTATCATTGATAATTTCATCATGAAACTTTGGCTTTCTTTTATTTCTAGTTTCTTTAAAATCTTCTTCCACTCTGAATGTTGCATCTTCATTTTCAAAAATCACGTTCATAGCAGACGAAAAATATTTAGCTTTTTCGTACACATCAATAAATTTTCTACTCACATCTTTTAACGTTTTTATTGTGTTTTAAACCATTTTGTATGATTGTAGCAAACCCATTTCCGATGTTTGTAAATAGTTTGATAATGGAGTAGTACTTTTAAAAATAAAAAGAAACAATTGTGCTGTTATTATTGTGTCAAATTTTACTAACATTTGTAAGTACACGTTAGCATTAAACCTTGTATCAGAATTCATACTTTCTGATGTCGAAATATTAAACAACGTTTGACATATTTGAACAAATATTGAATTTTGAGAGTCATTTAAAGATCCAAAAACTTTCCTTAACGATTTTTCTTTCGACCACCATCTTGTCTCACCTAACTTACTTATGAAACTAATATTTTTACCTTCTGTCGTATTTTTCCAAAAATTCATTCGTAAATATGATTCACGAACGAATACTGCAACTTTGTTTAATAGACTAAAAAGTGAAATAGATTCATTAGTTTTCTGAGTTACATCCGATATAACTAAATTTAACACGTGCGCATAGCATCATACATGAAGTTGTTTGGGTGCATCATCAGTTAACCACTTAGTGAATCTTTTATATTGGCCTTGCATGTTAGCTGCACCATCAGTTGAATTCCCAATACACTTTGTAATATCTATATTTAATTTTTTAACTCATTTGAAACAAGTTCGTGCATATCTTTACCTTTACCCGATTTACAATTAACAATGCTTACAACTCGCTCATGAACTTGGTTATTTACCTATCTAACTACAATGGAACACTGGTCGACTATATTGATATCCTGCGTGGTATCACTTTGAATTGTAAAAAAATTGGCTTGATTAATTTCCTCAGATATTTTCTGTTTTATTAGTTTAGTTATTCCTTCAATTATTACGTTGGCAGTAATTTTCGAAAAAAAACTAACAAGATCGCCTCGTCCTTTGGTATTTTGGTTTTTGTGTATTTTTTACTCTTATCGATGCATTTTTGCACGTGGTTGTTTAGTATAGGATCAAATTTTGAAATTAACATTAATATTTCAAGTAAATTTCCATGATCTAATGAATTATTATCCAAAGTATACACTGCTCCATTAGCACCACGATAACTAAGACCCCTCTTGCCAATCATTTTAATTGCCTCGATAACACGTTCCAAAATATTTCTTTTATTTGTATTTGAGTTTTATTTCTCTTGCTTTACTGAAATAACTTATGATAACTTTATTACTTTCAAACATCAAAAATGATTCTAAACTATTAATATGGGTTTTGCTCATTTCGTGTTCATTAATTCTGTCATAAAAATGCTTAGTTACACCACTATAACCAGTTACAAAAATACTTTAATCATCTTTTAACCCAAATCCTATACAAATCCAATGAAAAAATTATTTTCGATCAAGACTATAACTTATCCATTTTCTTCTTTGTAATTAAAATCAATATCATTGGGTTGACAAGGATGATAATTTAAAAATTGATGAATTAATTCCTTCGAAGGTTTTTCATAAAAGTCAACATTAGCTGTAATATTACTTAAGTCATCGGAAACTACCTTGTTATCGAATTATAAACTTTGAGAATAAACTTTTATACTTTTTATATTTTTAACATCCATTACATCTATCTTGTTTAGTGTATTTAAAATATCTGTTTCATTTGTCTTAAGGTTATTTTGGTCATTATCTATTTCTTGAAGCTCTGGCAGATCGTCATTACTATTTTTTTGAAACATATATTTTATTTTAAAACAACTGCCTGCCTCTATTTGTAGTTTTTTTGTTTTTTTTCAGAGCCACCTTTAGATTTTCTCTTATGGTTTTTCGAATGATCTTCCATTTTACTGTTAAATAATAATAATAATATAAATAAATATGATATAATTAAAAATGTAGAATCGCACTGTATTATTTCTATATCCCGAATTTCAATATTTCAATATTTATATTTTGAAACTTAATTTTACTAGTGAAAAGTTATTCGGTTTTCACAATTATTTACCAGGTCCACACGACCACACCATGGCCAATAAATGAACAAAATAAATTGTAAATACTAAATACAGACCGAATAATTCCACGTAGAAACGAAGAAATCGCTTATCAGAAATCTAAAGTCGGAATTGTACAATGGGTACGCGCCGAAACTAGGCGAGCGGTGACGAATAACTGAAATCTATAATAATACAAATAATATACGGGTCTGCGTTGTCGGCCCGGATCGACGGGTCGATGCATGCCGACAACGTAGATAAAAATATGACAATAGCTTATCGGCCGGTCGGCATAGCGCGCGACCAGCTACACACATAATATTATATAACAGTAGACATAATACAATTTATAATAGTAATAAATCACAACGAAATAATTTAAAAATTGTTGTTCTTTTACAATATTTTTAAAATTTCTCAAAAAAAATTTAGATATTAATAATATCTTAAATGTGTTTAAGAGCAGGTACTCACATTATATCTTCTTTATCTTCTTTTTTTTTCATATATTAAATACTTTTTCTCGGCCACTGTTAATTCATCATATTTTTGTAAAATATAATAATCTCGTCTTTTCTTAGCACCTTTGCTAAAAATAAAAAAATATTATGAATTTATTAAATTTAAACTAAAAAACAATATTATTTAAGATCCCAGAAATTAATACTTATACCCAGAGCCGGATCTTAGCTTTTTAACACCCGGGGAAAATTGAAAATATACGCCCATCTCAGGGAAATCAGCAAAAAATAATTTACCCAACACTGGTAATACGAAATATAATACAACATAGTAGAAGACAAATAAATTAACTTATTATGTAGGTAGGTATACTTACGTTAACTTAGCGTCATTAATTTCCACAATTGTTGACTCAATTTTTTCAGCCGTATATGGTTTTTTACCAGGCTTGTCCAAATAATATCTATCCATTTTTTGATAAAACTAGATTTTATCATTAAATTCTTCCATTGCGTAGAGGTACGTAGAATTAAAACTTTAAGAAAAGAATGTGATCGAACAGCAGTTATACACTGACACACTGCGTTAACATCAATAGGAATTACCAAAATGCTGATAATATGACATAATATGATTATGACTTTAATCAAAACCAATAAATATCATCTACACATTTCAGATAGTCTGGCGATTAGGCAGGTATAATAGTCATATAGAATAGGTATAGATAATATTTATTGTATTTGACATCGGCACGTGATTAATAGATATAAATAATAACGAATCAAAAAATGAAATGTACAAAGTAGGAACTACACACTGGTTAATTAAAGGATGGTTCAATTCTGGAAATATGCAGCATGCCACTGCAAATTTTATTTTAGCTGAACAGGTTAACAAACAAAAAGAATTAACCTTGCGTGAAACTGTCCAGGTCGTATCTGGAGGTCAGGGATTCCTAAGTTGTTCATGTAAAAGTTCTTGTCAAACCAAAAGATGTGTTTGTTTTAAAACTAGTATAAAATGCAACAGTCGTTGTCACAATTCATTTACCTGTTCTAATAAATAAAAAAATGATTTTAATATGAACAATATATATTAGTATTATATAAATAGTTATAAATATAATAATATAATGTTTAGTTAAATTAATAAAATATAGATAAAAATAACTTATAGTATTGTTAAAGTTAAAAATAAGTATACTTAATAAATACATTAAATAAATAATAACGAATATATAAAAACTTGACGTGTGCAATTAATGTTGTATTCCATTACACAAAGTGAACAACCGGATTGTGAAAAAAATTACACGATGTAAAATTTGAGTGACCACTTCATGAAAAAATGACCATTTTGTGGAACATTTTCGAATTTCACGAAGTGTAAAATATCCGTTTCCATTTCGTGAAATGGTCATCTTTTCATGAAAAGTTCGATTTCACGAAGTGGCTACGACATATAAACGTTCATTTGTTTTAGAGCTACACCAAAAACCAAAATCGTTTTTCCACAAAATTCCCGTTTTATCTGAATTTATATGTTCTTTTTCCCGGCGTTCTTTGAAAACTATTGGGAATTTTATAATTTGACCTCCCGAATGCACCAACTAGATTCACTTTCCCATTGAACAAGATACATTTGAAGAAAATCGAAGCAGTTTTACTGCCCCAAACCGTGATGACAGACACAAAAGTAAATAAAAATTTTTTTAAAAAAAACACACATCATTGCAAAATCAAAACATTCATCGTTCCACTCAGTATCTAAAATCTAAAATATCCAGACTGAAAAACCGTCTCCACTCAGAATCGTTTTTCTTATACAATGATATTATATCATTGTATTCAAATTTAATACAATCCATTAGGTATACATTAACCCACTTGTAACCAGCTACTGTACAGCAGAGCGACACCAACTTATCAGCTTTTTTCAGATCTCATTTATGTAAGCTATGAAAACACATAGAGGGCAGAGATGGCAGTTGGAAGATTATTCTAAATAATAGTTCATTACCAATGTTTCAACGTCCAATTTGTGATACGTTTCTCCTAAGTTCTGAGTCGTACATAACACATTAAGTTAAAATGCATTCCTCGATGCTTGAGTCTATACATACATATGTGGATAATGTTTCTAACTCAGGATATACGGCTTGTACTCAACAGTTATCCCTTTTTAATTATTTAAAACTTTGCTTAATTTTTTTGTACGAGTGGTATTTAATTCTAAGTATTTTTTTTAAATGCGCTTTACGAAAAAAATTTAGTTTTTGAAGTTTTTCATCAATAACTTCAAAACAAAGTTTGTCTAGGTTTTTTTTTACATTCTTAAAAAGCATCCTTAAATACACATTTTGAAAAAAAAAAATTTTAGAAATCGAAAAATTGCTAAACCAGAATCGTTCCCAAATATGTACTAAGAGTACATATTTTACTTATTATATAGTTTTTTATTGTATTGTTATATCAAAATAAAATGTCGATCGCATTTTTGGGGGGCCCTTATTCAAATTACCTCCCGATAAAAAAATATAATCCTATCCGCCACTGATTTGTTATAGGTGCTATGTACCCCAAAATCGGGTATGGCAGAAACCTACGGGTGCAGCCCAAATAGGCGTCCGAAATAGGATTTCGGGCAATCGGGAATACTATTAGACATGGTGTCATACGAAAAAAAGCTACTATATTATGCATATTGGCACAGGTACTATTCGTCTCCCTGTGAGTCGGCAGGTGGGTGATAATGTGGTATAACAAGAATGAATATATTATAATATAACGGTCCAGACTACAATTCAAGCGAAGATATAAAAATTAACAGCGGTTATAAAATAGTGTTTATATTTTGACTATCATTATTTCTAGTATTTCCTAATAAGAATCGTCATGACGATAGTGATACAACGTAAATATTAGGTACAATATTAAAAAATCGTTCCAGACCAATTTTTTTTAAAACAATGAACAGACTGATCTGAACTATTTTTACATAAAATAGTTATTTATACATATTACTTGGACACATAGACCTATTATAGGTTTATGATTGGAAATATTTTATAATATTTTAAATATTAAGATATTACTTTGAAGATAAGGTTCTATAGATATACCTAAATAATTAAAAGGAATTGATTCTACCAAATACTTGAAATACTATTTATATTATTTGACTCTACATAACGCCACAACACGATTTTATATTATTATATTTATCCACCATTTCAATTGTTGTTATAAAAGTTCAGCTAACAGCTGTAGATTGTAGACTGAGATTAGTTTTTCTTAGTAAAACAGACACGAATAGACATAGGTACTTAAAATAATAAAATGCGATTATTTATAATAATACAATGGTGTAATATACTTGGTATTTTGATTTCAAAATATAATATTGGTTGAGCTTGAAAATAATAAATATAAAAATTATGGACCATAATGACATAACCGGACCGAAGACAGGACCTTTGCCTGAACCGGTCTTATACGTGGACCGGACCAGACCGAAATCAAATTAAACAGTTTTATTTGAGACTGAACCAAACTATTCACTAAATATTTCTGATAGTTTTTTTTTTAAATTTATTAAACCAGACTGAACCGAACCGTTACTTAGTTTTATATCATAAAGTTGAACCAAAAGCAGAACCCAGTCCGGACTGGATTGATTTAGACCTGACCATGCAGAGCACTACTGTACAGCAGAGAGACATCCACTTATCCGCTTTTTTTTCTTTTATAGTTATTTTATGTTCAAAATTTGGAGGAAATTAGATATTTAAAAGAAGAAGAACGATTATTTAGTTTTGTATTATATTTATAAAATATTATTTGTTGGTAGGTACCTTCAAATTCTAAAGTATATTATTAATTACAATATATGTTGAAATATACAATTAATATATAGTATATGTAGTCAGCATTGACATGTGTGTACAATTTAGTAACTATAGTTATGTACGAGCATAAGACTCACTCTCTTCACGGATGTAACATGACCTCGGTCGTGCATATATTATATAGGGCCTTTGATGTATGTAATATTCACTTGCACAGGCGTCGTTGTACAGAGCGTATACGATGTGTGTGAGCTGTCACAGTTTAATTGTCCAGTTGTACGTTATTATATATTATATATACTTATACATAATCATATTGTCGTGTTATTAGTTATTATATTAATGCTAACATCATTAGTCCGTCAAGCTTCACTTTCAACAATATAAACATAATATAAAATATTTTAGGCTGACAAACCGTCTTCGCTCGAAATCGTTTTTCGTATACAATAATATTATATCATTGAATTCAAATTTAACACTATCCATTACAGTCATCCATATCCAACCTACTGTACAGCAGAGTCACAAACACTTCCTGCTTTTTTAAATTTTAATCGTTACGAATTTTTAAATTATCAAGCACCTGCATTTAATTTTTATGAAATACCTTGATTACAACATTTTCATTGTTGTTTGTGGCAATGTGGTGGACTGGGCCAAAGCCAAAAAATATTTATTTTAAAAATGACCAAAAAAGAATCTAACTTTAAAATAGTAACATATTACATAATATTTATAATATTATACAATATACTATATTACTATATCCAATAGGATAATGTTCATATTATGTACTCTTATATGTTTTACTTTTTTTTATGTCTGAACGTCTGAAGACATTTTTACTACCTAGTAGAAAGATTCGATTTTAAACTTCGAAGGTGATTTCAAGTAACCAATTGGATCTATTTAGTACAAAATTCGTACTTATTTTTATAAGCAGGACGGAATTCTTAAAAATCGCAATTTATTTTGTCAACATAAAAATTGTCTTCATTCTTCGCTCTAAAAAGTTTTTCATCGTAATTCATAAACAGTTTAAGTTAAACAGTTAAATTCCAATTTAAATAAATTACCTAATACATCTATTACAGCATAATAGAATTATTTTATAATATTGTTATAAATTACTAATAACTAGAGATGATAAGCGATTACAAAATTGTATGAATTTGGTAGCTAGGTATCCAAGTTTTTTAATCATCTAGTAAAATAAAATTACACACACATTAGTAGCAACTAGTAGGTACTTAGTAAAATTGATTATATACTATAATCATAAGTCAATGGTAGTATCAATGGTAGTTATTACCTATTGCATTCTATTTGCGTTTATTTAAATGGCAAATTTATTCCGTCAGTGATTTCCGTGGTCTTTGATATTGGTACCTATACAAATTAAATTATTCATTTTTTATCGCCCCTAAGGTGATCTAATGAGAGTTAATTGGATGATATATTTGCTGAAAACGATGCTCGAAAGTTTATTTGTACCACGATTTAAGATAATATACAGGTTGCACAACGAAGACAAATATTGTAACTCAAGAACTGATACTTCAAAAAAATTAACTCTCAATGCTCCATGCGGGGAAAGTTGTATTTCAGTGTCGCCACATTATTATTTATTATTATTATTATTTATTTATTACGGGCAGTGAGCCCAATATAATGCACAGAAATATATAAATTTAACCTAAGACACACATGTAGGGAAAATTTTTATTATTATCTAAGGAAATTAGTTTTATTTTAAATTATGTCTTTTTCTTATTCTTTTACATAAAATCAAGTATTCTATACTCTATTCGCCGTAAGTTGACCCACTAGCTCGACGAAAACGGGTCGCAGCTGCGCAAGCCACTGCGTCTTCGGAGCGATAGTGCTGATCGTCGCCACCGCACCTGGTGTATACGTAGTGATTTGATTATCTTAACGACGTATTGACACTATCTCCTAACCTACTGTTAACGATAATTTTTATATTCTGTTTACAATTATTTTTTATTCTGTTTACATTTATTTTTTATCCGAATTTTTATTTATTCATCAATATAATTCGCTAGGGATAGCAGTGATGATTTTGTATAACATTCTGTATGCACGGCGGCAGCTGACTACTACGACGTCACGACGAGCACCGCCGATTGCCGAACACCACTGACCAATGTAGTAAACCGACGAAGTCGCTTTCCTATATATTAAATATTATAATT